TATTTGTTTATATTCATCATTTATAAGGCCTTCCTTCTATTTTCTAAATGAGTCTTTTTAATTTCTCAAATCTGTTGAAAGCTGTTTATGGACCCACCTTGGCTTCTTTAGGCTCCTCCCATTTTCCTTCTCATAGGAATCTTTTATGATGGTGCCCTCAATATTTCACTTTTAAGAAACTCCCACCCTTCTTGAACTCCCGTCTCCTTAAGTATTTCTGGCCATGGGATTCTACCCAGCATAACTTTTAAGTTTGTCAAATTTTACTTTCCTGAAGTCCAAGGTACATGTCTACTACGTACAGCTTTCCCCTTCCCCAAGACTGTAAATTTCAAAATTACATGGTCAGTACTATCCAGGATACCCACTACCTTCACCTTGTGCTTTTGTACACATACTTAACAACATCTTGGACCATTTTAGACTGGGTTCTTAATCATGGCTGTGGTGTGGGTCTCCTGCAAGATTGCTCTCTGTGCCACTGGGTCAATCAGGGCCAAGTATGTAATGCATTTACCTTGTGATCTGCATGGGGACTTGCAACAGAACATAACCTGCAAGTTCTCCATGATATTTCAGTTCACATGTGCTGCAGGGGGCTGATTTTGATTGGGTCTGTGTCATTATGAGGGACACAGGAGCCTCCCACAGCTCTTCTGAATTGGGTTCTCTTGAAAACTCACAGCTGGCATCCTGTTGCTAGTCCCTGTGGCAATCATGTGGCAATCATGTAGTAGAAGTGTAGTTTGGACCTCAAAGAAGTCCTGAGCCAGGTTGTAATGCCTCCCCATGCCAATTTTTGGAGGTCCCTCTAGCAAACTTCAAGAACGGTTGAGTGCTCCCTCTAAGCTGTGGAGTCTTGTGAGCAAAAAATCTACTTGGTGAGCTACTGGCATTAAAGCTGTGAGTGAGCGATTTGGATACTGTATAAATTAGTTTGCTCTGGAGCCATTGTTCCTGAGCTAAGACAAAAATGTGTGAGCTGGAGGCTAAAAAACTGTGAGCTCGCTCACACTAACTCAGCTTAGAGGGAACACTGCATAGCACACCTATCCATGGAATGACCTCATCACATCTTTGTCTTATTTTAGAGCAATGAACAATGAGGACTCTACTGTAAAATGCCTTAAGAGTCATGGGATCCTCATCAGGCAAGCAGGACCTTAGAAGACAGACATATTTTTATGGGGGGGGGGGAGTTCTTCAGTAGGTGACCAGTCAAGTGGCCAAGAGACTTGCTGGTCTGGAGAATTAGAAAAGTGGAGCAAGGCAGTTAAACCAGTATCTAGCATTCAGTACAGTGGCAAACACTAGAGAATTGATTAAAACGTGCCAATTATTCCATACACCCTAACACATGCCTTTGGAGATATTAAGAACATAAGAGATGCCAATGTTGGATCAGGCCAAAGGCCCATCCAGTCCAACACTCTGTATCACACAGTGGCTAGAAATACCAGTGCCATCAGGAGGTCCACCAGTGGGGCCAGGACATTAGAAGCCCTCCCACTGTTGACCCCCCCCAAGCACCAAGATGACAGAGCATCACTTGCCCCAGAGTCCCTATCTATACCTTGTGGCTAATAGCCACTGATGGACCTCTACTCCATATGCTTATCTAATTCCCTTTTGAAGCCGTTCATGCTTGTAGCCGCCACCACTTCCTGTGGCTCTGTAAGCTAGCCCAAAATTTAGCACCCAGACTTATGTTTCAGCCTTCAGAGTTTTACATTTTAATGAAACCTTTTCTAATTGTTGGTACCACAAAACCTAACTGTAAACTCTTCGCAGTTTCTCATGAAAGCGATGACAAAATTGTTTTATTATATAAATGAATATGAAGTCTTCACCACAGCTAAAAGCTAAATTCTAAACTTAACCTCTCAATTTCTTATAACTTTATTATTGCTTTAAAAAGCTCCATTTAATTGAAATCAACTGGTTGAGAAATGAATTTCATCTGCCTCTACTGTATGGTGTACGGTTAATATGTAAACAGTGACAGGAATGTCATGTACATGTATTTTTATGTCATGCAGCAAAACCTATCTTGATGTGAAATAAGTTTTCTACCGACATATCTGAAGGACTGCCTCTTCCCATATGTGCCCCAAAGAGCCTTGTGCTCACAGGACCAACATTTACTGGGTACCCCCGGCCCAAAGGACGTCTGCTTAACCTCGACTAGGGCTGGGGATTTTTTTCTACCCTGGCGGAATCAGCTCCCATTGGAGATCAGGGCCTGCAAAACAGAGTTGTTCCGCCAGGCCTTTGGTTGAGGCGGCAGGCGTCCATCTCAGTTGCCCTCACTACTTTAGTTCCCAACCTTCTGAAAGGACCCATCTGATTCTACCTTGTAGCCCCAACAGATGTATTTTGCTACTACCAATTTTATTGTTTATTGTTTTTGTGATTTTAATGTGATTTTGTTGTTACAAGTCTTTGACTTGATTTGTTGTGATCCGCCATGAACCTGTTTGGGAACAGCAGAATAAAAAACCCTAAATACATAAATAAATTGTTAAAAGACTACAATAAAATTGCTGAAAATGCTAGGTGCCACAATGAAATTTTTAGGTTTCACATCGACCTAGTGCCTGGAATTTGCTGAGCCCTACCTTCATACTGAAGTGTGTTCTTCTCAAAAGGGACTTGGGTTAGGGTGGGTTAGAAAAAGAGTGACCAGAGTCTGTAGCTACAAACTTAGATCCATATACCAAGGCCAGGTGTCTTGAGTGCCTCAGTAGGCAATAACCCAAAGGGCAGAATAATGTTTCAGGTGTCTGGAACAGATGTTCTGCACCTCATGAGAGTGTAGTCCTTGGTAGGCAAAAGCTCACATTTGAGCTGATTTCAGTTATACTCCAATTATATGTCAAGGGGCTTGAATAAAAAGCAAAATATTATTTCATTTCCTGGCATGAAAAGGGGGGGGGGGCAACATGAGCAGTTTTGGTACGCCACCTGATGATCCAAAGGGATGAGTCAGCATCCTATCTATGGGGAATGCAAATATAGGTACAGTTGTTCAGCAGAATGCTAATAGGATAGGATCCTTTTATGGTGGATTCACACTGAGTAATTACTAAAGGACCTTGATTAATAATCTGGCCAGAGACAGGACATACCAGGCCTCTCCCAGAAATCATCTCTTTTCTTCCAGTGAATATGGTGAGATTAGGCATGGTTCTGTTTACTCTTTTGGCTCTGTTGACATGATGGCTTAAATTTGTTCACTGGCCAGTACAGGCAGAAATAGCTGGTCCCAGATCAAGATGGGGAGAGGGGATATAAATAAAAATGGATGCTTAGTGGCAGCATCTATCTATGGCCCATAGAAAGAGCAATTCCATTGTGCAGGTTGCCTAATGCTCAATAGTAAACTTTCAGGTTCCAGTCAAAAGAACCTTGATAAATCACTAGTGATGGCACTAGCCATGTAGCATCTACTGCACTTTGCAGAGGTAGAAGTTGTAGTAGGAAGTATGGTCCTAGCCACATATGTTAAGTATGAAGTATGGCGGTAGCCACATTTTTAAATAGTTTTAACATTTGAATGTTAATATTTTATATTTGTTATCTGTTTTTATGTTGTTTTTAACTTATTTATACAGTTTTAATATTGTGAGTAGCAGCGAGACCCTTTTGGTGAACTGCAACTAAAAAAATCTAATAAGTAGAATAAAAATAAATAAGTAGTCCTGGCTTCCAAGTGTTTCTACAGTAATTATATCATTTTATTATGCCAAAGAAAAATGGAGATGAAACATTGTGAATATGGGGAATGGGGCATATTGAGACACCCACTCCTATCTATGGTCTGAAAAAGAGATGTTTTAAGTTAGCAATTGCTGGATGTAAAGGATTTATTAGAGCCTGTACCTCTGAAAGCAATGTTTCAATCACCCACTTTCCCATATCAGGGGGCTAGTTTGGTACTTCTTGGAAGGCTGGTAAGTGCTGGAAGACTTCTAATTCCTGCCCAATGAGGTCAGCTAGTGTCTGGACGCTGAAAGGGACTGGCTGAGGGTGAACAAACTGAAACGATATCTAGATGAAATAAAAAGTGTTGTAAGTGGAGTTGATCTTAGGAGTAAGTTGTTCAACATTAAACAGTTTTGTATCCCTTGAAGGAGCGAGCACACAGTTTGGATGTGCTTTTGCATGCCTTGTTGACCCTGAATTCTGGGTGCATTGTTTCAGCTTAGGTTGGTTTTCCAGCTATAGCCTTTTCTGAAGGTCTATCCACACATCCCATGTTAACATCCAGGTTGGACTATAATGCACAGCATGTAGGGTTGCCTTTGAACAGTTTGGAAGCCTAGGCACCTCACAGGGTGGTTGTTAGGATAAAATGGAAGAGGGCACAGGGTTGTTGAATGTGTGCTTGGGTCCCCATTGAGGAAAAATGTGAGGTTTAAATGAAATCCCTCCATCACACTGGGAATATCTGCAGAAGTACAAGGACTGCCTTTGTCCTCCTTTATAATAAAGGCCAATGATTTCACTTGCACATTTAATTTCTCCTGCAGTAGAACTGCAAGGAGACTGAGGCTGGAAAATGGAGAGTTCATGTCACCTTAGTTTCAACATCATCTAAATATCTCTTTGTAAGACAGTGTTGTTATATATACATAAAAAGTGTCTTGAGTAGTTTTGTAAGAGGGCTTAGTTTGCTCTCAGTGATATGGATAGAGTGTGTCATTGTGTAAATAAAAGTGTGTTCCTGAGGAATATTTCAAATAAAGTGGCATGGTAGAGTCAACTTTCTTTGGTATTTGCTGACTTTGTAAGCTGCTGTGTGTTCATTTGTGATCCATTACATAATCATATGAACACATTTTTTCTGGTCTAACTGTAATAATTTGAGCAGGACAAAGGTACTCTGGTTAGACATTTGGTAGTTGTAAGGCTGGAAATCTAAAGCTTGTTATCTTATGATGTATGTTTGTTTATAGTAATTTGTAATCTGATGTAATTATAACCTTATCTTCCCCCAGATTTTGATGCATACTAAGGAGATGGTACAGAAGGTAATAACTTTTTTTTTCAGTATAGGAAATTGTAACCCAAATCACTTCTCAGAATGCCTAGTTTACTAATGTAATCCTTTCTATTGGTCTATAGCTTTCCCCCTTTGGTAAAGCAGATATGATCTAATCCTGGCTTGAAGCCTATGTTTGAGTGTTTTAGGCAAATTAGTAACAGTGTTAATTAGAGTTTATTCACAGGCCAGTAACCATGTATTCTAACGTTTTCATTGGGACTGAATTGTTTTCACCATTCTTTACTGTATTACCTTGAAGACTTGGAATAAAATATTGTCTATTTCACAGTATATCACTCTCTTCCTCCACTTGATTACTGGTTACATTTGTTAGAGGATCTCTTCTTTCCTTTTTCCTCTCTTCCATTACCAAGAAAATCACTATTTACTTTCTGTGCTATATATCAGATATATCCTCTTAGCTTTTTGATGGAACAATAAGGTTTTATTACTCAAACTCAGGGATCATTTCGTAGAAAAAGAGCTAGGGGAACTCATTAGCACAACTCATTAGCATATGCCACACCCCCTGACATCAGGGGCCCGGCGGTGGACCTGCAAGGCCAGCGGGAGTGCGAGGAAGCCCCGCCAAGGCCCTCCCTGGCCCCAGGCAGGCAGGGGTGGGGAGAGGTGGGGAGGAAACAGCTTACCCTCCCTCTTCTCCTGCCTCCTCCTGGCTGAATGAGGGCTGGAAGTGGGGCAGCCGGAAGCAGGGGGCGGGGCTTCGTCATGTGCCCCGCCCCCTGCACCTCACCCGGGGGAACTGCGTTCCCCTACGTTCCCCCCCGAAATGACCTCTGCTCAAACTCCTTTTTTTGTGACCTGTGTCAGAGACAAATTGAATTGAGTTAAAATTACTTAAAGTTTGGAAGGGAATTGATCATAGATTTTAGGCAAGGTGGCTTGTCTTGTAGCTCTAATTTGTACATTATTTTGTTTTTTTAACTAGATGAACCTGGAAGTAATTTATGGTGATACTGACTCCATTATGATAAATACAAACATTAGCAACCTGGAAGAGGTCTTTAAATTGGGGAATAAGGTAAATCATTTTAAAGTTCTTATCATAGTTTCTGTATCGTATGTTAAATTTATATTACCAATAAATTGTTTTTTAAGTATAAAATACTGACCTTGCTAGCACTTTCAAGATTCTTAGTAGCTATCTTGCTATTGAACGTTCATGATACTACTGCCTCTAAAAATTTTTTGCCGTAGCACTCTTCAAACCATTGATCAGTAGCTTCTGTCCATGTCTAGAAGTCTTCCTCTACCATTCACCTCTATTTCTAAATGGGTTTCAGCTTATTTTACATAACTTTGGTTTCCAAAGTATGGTATCTATTAATTTCTTCTCACAAAGATATCTTAAAATAGGCTTTTTCAAGCAATAATGTTGTTTAGTTATAGATTTGATGTGTAATGACTTCATAATGTGATAATATTCAGGATCTTGTATTATGTATTGCAGGATGTCTAGATAACACTTTATAAAGACAAACCAAGTGTTCTCTTTAATTTTTGAATTAAAATTTTGCCCTTTACAGCTGATAAATGCATCCTTGTTGAACAATGTGCTGTAAAAGACATGGTAAATCTTCATCTAGAGACAGGTAGATAGAGGCTTCCCCTTACAGTTACTGTTGTGTGGGTTTTTTTCTGTATTTACCATTTTAACTTGATCTAGATCTTGATTATTCCATTGCCTTTCTGCCCTTAGCTGGGAAGTGCTATGGACAAACCAGGCTCAACACTGTGTACATGCAAGAGCAGAGACTCAGTGTGTGCACGTTTCTTCACATACATTGAAACAAATTTCCTCAAATATTACATGCAGGTGGGGGGGGGGGTTAGTTGTCAGGAAGAGCTGATTAGAGTCAAGATGCATAAGTAACTGAACAATAAATGTAGCTAAGATTGGGATAATGCATATAGTAGGACATGTAAATAGTAGAAAGTTGGCATACAGATAATAAAAGAGTTAACAACAGATGTGAGAACCAAGGTTGAGTTCAGTGGCCTATATAAGACCAACCAAGTTTAATTTCTGGGTGTAAGTAAGAACAGAATGACATAGAGTGTGTGGTGAGATAAGAAGCTGATATCGCTGTTAAGCCCTTTGCAATAAAACAGCTACTTGAGGTCCCCCATTGAGGTCCTGGGAGGTTGAAGTGTTCTCCTACAGGTTTCTCAGTTTTGTGATTCTTGATGTCAGATTTGTGTTCATTTATCCTTTGGTGTAGGATTTGACCTGTTTGTCCTGTGTAGAGAACTGAAGGGCATTGTTTGCATTTCATGGCCTATACAGTGTTAGAAGATGAGCAGGTGAATAAGCCTGAGATAATGTTGTTGATGTTGTTAGGTTCAGTGATTGTGTTGTTTGGGTGTATATAGCAGCAAAGTTGGCATCTGGGTTTATTGCAAGCTCTGGTACGAGTGTCCATGTTCAAATTAGATTTTGTATTGTTGTGGGTGAGGAATTGTTTGAGATTGGGGGGCTGTCTTGTGAAAGAGCACTATCATTATTCAGTAGAGGTTGTAAGTTGCTGATGATGCATTGAACTGTTTTGAGTTGAGAGCTGTATGTGACCACTAGTGGTGTTCAGTTATTGTCTCTTTTGGGCCTGTCTTGCAACAGGTTTTCTCTGGGTATTATTCTGGCTTTGTTAATCTGTTTCTTGACTTCATCAGGTGGATACTTTAGTTCCAAAAAGGTTTGCTGTAGATCCCTCAAGTGAGAATCTTTGTGGGACTGAAGTAGATGTGGCTGTAGTGTAGAGCCTGGCTGTATACAATGGATCATTTGGTATGTTTAGGATGGTGGCTGGAGGCATGTAGATATGTTGTTGGTTAGTAGATTTCTGGTATAAGGTGGTGTCTATGTGTCCATTGTGTATTGCTACAGTAGAGTTAAGAAAGTTTATTTCTTGCATAGATTGGTTCATTGTCAGGTTACTGGTGGGGTGAAGAATGTCTGGTAGAATATGCCCAAGGCTTTTTTACCATGTGTCCATATAATAAAAATGTCATCAATATATCACAGGTATAGCTCGCCGAGAGCAGACGCTTGTAGCGGCAGCTGCTCATCTGCTGATTTTCCCCAGAGCCTTCTAGGGAAATTCTTACACCCTTAGAGGTACTCCCTCGGAGGGGGAGACCGAAAGCAAGAAGCTTGCTCCAAACCCCAAGATAGAACGGCAACCTTCTTGGTGAATTTGGGACTGTTTCTATGCGGAAGGCGGATGAGGGACTCTCGACTAGACACTGAGCACAAGACGAACTCTACAGGACCGACGGAGTCTTTAAAATGTGGAAAACAAAAGCTCCAACGAAGCTAGGTTTCTTTAAAACGTATTCATTTGTTGGACAATATATATTAAACTACAGGACCATTGAGTAAACTAATATTACCCCAAGCCAGTATAAAGGGAAAAGAAGGAAGGGAAGGGTTTCCCTTTAAAGTGGCTATTAGCGGGATGACTAGGCAAATTTAAAAATAAAGAGGGTAATAATAAGAGGTAAAAGCATTTAAAACATTCAGAGATTAGATATATTACAGCCTTCTTTCTCTTGGTGGCTTTCCTTTAATGTAACGTTCCAGAGAAAACTTCGGAGAAAAGATGAGGGGAAGGAAAAGTGAAACCGTGACACCGTGAAACCTGAGACGAATGAGGAAGAGGGCGTAATACAACACAGGAGGAGAGAGGAGGAGATGCGATGCGTTAAAGGGAACGGAAGTGCAGCAGAAAGAGAAAGAGGAACGACAGGAGAAGAGACATATGAAATAAAGACAGCCAGACTGTGAAATTTAAACAAAAAACGACATAGCAACTAGACATTAATTGAACTAATACTGCTTTATAACATAAGAACAAACTTTGTGATAGGAATATAAAGAAAGGAGAGGAAGCGAGTCAATCTATACTAGAAAAGCACTATAGAATCATATTACTAAATAATAACAATGGCTAATGGTTCCAGAAAATCATCCCTAACCTCACTGGGACAAACAAGTGCCCAAACACAACTCAAATTTAACACTACAAATGTGGCACAGATGTCAATAAAAAACTTAAAAACGCTCATACAAGAATGTATTGCACAAACTATTAAAAATACAACAGTGCCAGAACTAATTAGGAAAGAAATTGAACCAATACAAACAAAAATGGGAGAAATGATATAAAAAGAATTAGAACCTATACAAACAAAAATAGAAAACATAGCACAACAGATTACAACAGAAACAGAAGACATTAAAAAACAGATAACCGAAAATAAGCAAGAGATATTAAAATTGCTTTAGCATGTAATAATACAGAAGACAAACTACAAGATGTAGATCAAGAGGTACAAGAAGTAAGACAAAAAGTGGACAGAATGGAAGAGACACTGATGACTTTGGGAATGGACAAAGCCTCCTTGGTCTTAAGGTGCCAAAATATCCCTGAAACTCTAGAGAAAAGTTTGAAAGAGGACTTAATACAGAACTTATCAGAACAACTGAATATAGGAAACTATGAAGAGCTGGAACGTGAAATAGAAGCTATCTATAGGAAAGATACCTCTTATGCAAGAAGAAATAAAATACCTAGGGAGGTCCACATTAAATTTAACAGAAGATACATGAGAGATAAAATACTGAAAGCCTCAAATAACACTAAAGTGATTATACACGATAAAGAGATAAAAATTTTAAAGGATGTGTCATGGAAGGTTAGGGGAAAAAGGCAAAGTTACTCTGTATTGACCAATCTGTTACAGTCAAAGGGAATTTCATATAGATGGTTATTTCCAGAAGGAATATTATTCAACTACCAAGGCAGAAGGCATAACATTGATTCTATATTTAAAGTAAAAGAATTTCTGGAAAGGTTTGGAGAAAACTTAGGATGGCAAGGAGAAGAAGAAGAGGAGAGTGAAAATGAGGAAGAAACAAAGAAGCTAAAAAGAAAGGACGGGCTAAAGGAAAAAAACAAACTTCACCCCCTCACAAATATTCACAAGATACCAATACAGAGAAAGGACAAGAAGAAATGTAAATAAAGATGGAGACAATGAAAAACTCAAGATACTCTCGGTCAACGTGAATGGACTTAATAGCCCCCCCCAAAGATATAGAACATTTCACCAAATAAACAAACTTAAACCAGATATAACTTGTATACAAGAAACTCACATTAAGAAAGAGGATAC